ACAGACAGACAGACAGACAGACAGACAGACAGACAGACAGACAGACAGACAGACAGACAGGACTTCAATAAGTGACAAAAGAAAAGTGATAAATTGATCAAAAATGACCACAATGAAACGGAGCTCTCGTGCGGCCGCACATGTCCATTATGTGAGTGTGTCTGTGGGTTTGTTCTGTGGAATACATCAAGGCCCTCCGGGTCAGAGGTCAGCTTCATCCCAGACTGATGACCCCGCAGACAGACTGACCTCTGAGGGGTCTAACAGCAGCTGGGGGGAGGAGGCAGGACACCGGACCAGCCGGGGGAAGGAGATGATTGGAAACATGGAATAGGAGGAAAGGAAACGACGGACAAAACGGAGGAAAAAGTCTAAATCGGCAGGAGGAAGAGGCCGAGGAGCGTGGTAACCACAGCGCACCTTCAATATCTCCTCCAGGTTTTTGTTGCTTCCTGATCACCCCTGGTTTTTGCGCTCGGCTCTGGTTTGAAGCAGTGAATTAACACCTGACCCCAGCTCCTGACCCCACCCCTTTCATCCAACTACCCCCTCCAGATTAGCAAATGTGTGCTATCTGGCCTGAACACACACGCACTCACACAACTGCACACATTTAACAACAGCAACACAGAAAACCAGAGGTTTTCAAAAAGCAGGGTCACTGTAAAAACAAAGTGCTGAAGTAACAGTTATTTATTCAAGATTAGAACCAGTGTTTGAGCTAAAATGGTCTAAATGCAACAGTTAAATCAAGCTTAAATAAATTATTTAATTTAAACCAGTTTATATTCTTAGAGCAAAATTTTGACAATAATCAGTTCTTCTCAACTAGAAGTTTTGTGGTAGTTCAATGTTTACTAACCTATTTGTATCCTTGACAAAAGAGACTTATTTTCTCCTTTGGACACTGCAGATGATGTGTTGACCTAAATGTGTGTTTCTGCAAAAATAAATATCTTCAATTCAAARGCATCCAATTTTCAGGTTGCCGTTTTTACTGAAACCAAATGTAGTTTAAACTTGACCTATTTTAGTAAATTACATTTTCTAGCTTAACTACTTGATTCAGTTTAAATAATCTTCAAGAGTAAAAATTGATGCTGATCAAAAACCATTTTTTTAAGAATAAAAAAAACTCATCATCTGTGCTCCGCAAATTCCCTCGAGCTGATCTTCAGTGTGTCTGTAACGGTCAGTCTGTAATGGCTATCCCCTCCCCACCATTATACAATGTCCAGAGGTGTCTCACACACACACACACACACACACACACACACACACACACACACACACACACACACAC